CGGACCAAGGTATTGGAATTATTTCTGAAGTCAGGAGTCGGGGAGTAGAGGCGGTGGTAAGGAAAATATGATCTATCCTGGAGAATGACTGGTGGGGGTGAGAATAGAAGGTGTATTGGCATTTCGCCGGGTTGAGTTCTCGCCATGTATCTACCAAGGAGTAATGATGCAGAATGGTTTGGAAAGTTTGTTTAGAGGCCGGGGCCGGGGCAGGGATGGTTGAGGGGATATATCGAGGAAGGGATATACTACACTATTAGAGTCTCCGCTAACAATTAAAGTTCCGCGCTTATGGTGGTCTATAACCGAGAGTATGTGGGAAAGGAATGGTAAAGGGTCTTGGTTTGGGGCATAGTATGCAGCAATGGTGACATCTACATCCAGGAGTTGTCCTACTAACAGGAGGTAACGACCCTCCGGGTCTTTGATGTCAGTGCCTAGCGTAAAAGGTGTTGTGCGATGAAAGGCTATCAGTACCCCCCTGCGTTTGGTGGCGGCAGAGGCCGTATAGATCTGAGGATATCAAGGGCCAAAAAACTTAGGAGTGGAGTTGGGAGTGAAGTGAATTTCCTGTAGACAAACCACATGAGCTTTAAGCGTAGCAAAGGTTCGGAAAGCCTTATTACGTTTCTGTGGAATATTGAGGCCCTGGACATTCAGAGTAAGGATATTTAACGAACCCATGGGGAAAGTGCATAGTGGTTAGGATGGCATGTGGCTACCTCCCAAGGTGGAGCCTGACGGGGGATGAGGGCACTGTGGAGCGTGTTGTGCAGAGTCTTGAAGTCATGTTGGAGGGAGGGAGGAGGGGTACGATATGGGAGAGGTAACAGGAAAGAAGGGGCGTAAGAGGCCATTGAAGGCCTAAAAGATGGGTTCCCAGGGACACCCTGAATCAGGGTGGGCTAGGGAACAATAGTAGCCCAAGCGTTATTAAATAACCAATAACACAGGGGCTAGGTTGGAGTGTGCAGGTACACGGTCCGTGAGGATGACAGCAACTTGATTGATAAAAAGTGGCGATGTCCCGGTAGAAAAAAAACAAAAAAAAAAAAAGGTACATAAAGGAAATACATACATGATGATCACGCTATCCCAAACTCAGACGGCATTAGCAGTGTCAGTGAGACATCACAGGGGAAAGGGGCGTAGCATCGCATGCCGCCAGAGCCTAGGCTCTCAAACAAACTAAACTAAAATGGGGCCCTGAGGGGGGGAGCCAAACAATTCCCAGGTAATGGGGCAACCAGAATTTAACAGGTAGAGGGAGAGAGGATATCAACGGTATTAACCGCAATGACAGTAATGACAGCCCACGGGGTACACCGTTTGGTGTGTGTGGCTAAAATAATGTGGAAAGAAGAAGGATAAACATGAGACACAGTTCAGTCCATGGTATCTTGTGAAGATAGACCCGGAGATGAAAAGCGGCCCGTTTGTGGAGGTTGAGTGGGCCTGCCGTGGCACGCGTGAGGAGGGACTTCCGTGGCGAGCAGGATGTGGACCTCCGCTTGGCGCTTTCTGAAGGTGTCGCTGAGGAATGGAGTTGTAAGATCCGCAGGGTGTCTAGTAGGTCTTCTGGAGTCTTGCAGGTGTAATCCCGGGATTGGAATCGGAATCGCACTGCAAAGGGGAAGCTCCACCTATACGGTATAGCGTGTTGTTGAAGTGCTTGTAGGTGAGGTTTCATAGCCCTGCGCTTGGTGATTGTTGTGTGGGGCTTAGATCCTGGAATAATTGGTATGAATGACCCTGGAACTGTAGAGATTCTGCGTTACGGGCAGCTTGTAGGAGTTGCTCCTTGGTGCGGAAAAAGTGGAGCTTGGCTATAATGTCACGTGGTGGACCATCCGTGCGTCGTTGCGCTAACGCCCTGTGTACTCTATCCAATTCTAATCTTTCGATTGGGATAGCTGGGGCAAGCTCTTGGAACAGAGCTGTTACTGTCGATTGGAGATCGACAATCGTTTCCAGAAGGCCACGGATGCGCAGATTTGAGCATCGTGCCCGGTTTTCAAAGTCCTCCAGTCGTGTCAATAATGTTGCGTTTTTGTCACGCAGGAGGTCAAGGTCATCCGTATGTGTTTGAAGCGTGGTATCAAGACCATCTACCCTCTGCTCTAGGTCTGCAGTGCGTTGCCCTAGTTCACGGATTTCCCTAGATAGCGTGGCAGTGATGCGGTCCAAGGTTTGCTTCAAGGCTTTGTGTAGCATTTTTTCAAAGCGGGTCAACAGGTCAGGGGTTGCAAGGTCAGGCATCAGGGCTTGTGCAGGGACATCTGTTTCAGTGTCAAACTCACCCTCAGACGTGCAGGGATGGCTGGGCTGCGGATCCTGTAGGGCTGCATGTGTACCTGTCATCTTCTTGCCTCCATGTGGCCATCTTTGTGGAGGCCTTTGCCAGGGCTTCCTTGATTGATTTGGTAGAAGGGGGGACCTGGTGCTGGGGTGCCCCCTTAACCATTCTGCCGCTTGTCAGTCGGGGGGGCTGTTATGAAGTTCTCAGCCCCCCTTTTCTCTCTCTCCTCTGCCTAGGGTTTAGTGTAGGCTGTGGTGGGCGGGCCTTGTGCGGAGCTCGCCGCAGGGACACGTGTCCCGTCGGATTTCTCCGACCTGCTGCAGGGGATTTGCCGCAGACCAGGGCGGATCGGACCCTGGGAGGGTTGCTGCCAGGATCGGGTCCCCCTGGGATAGATTGCGGGCCGGGACCCGCTGCTTCGTGGCGCTGTCACCCGACGGGGAGACGGAGCCTCAAAGAGACATGTCCGTCCCGCCGGCCGCGCATGCGCACTCTCGTCACAATACATTTTTAAATGCCTATTAAAATATGCATAAACACAGAAGAACAGTATGCCTCACTACAAACTAACATAACATAAAAAGAACACATTGTATCTCAGTAATAAATTGCACGATGCTGTATGCAGATAGTTCAGACTGTGTATATAGACCCTGAACTGAGCTTCTCAACCCTTAAATGGTAGTAGCCTATGAGCCCTGTAAGAGTGAGTATCCTAAATTGCAGAATCCAATAAGTGGATAATGAATACCATGAAAATGATATTTTCACTGCTGAGTATCTCAAGTTAGCCTAGTTAGAACATTTGTATAAACAAGTGACTTTATATTTAACATGCTATCATAGATCATTTCCTTTAAAATAAGATGGGTAACTCAAATACATAAAAGAACACCTGGACCCTATATGACTCGGGAAAAAAGGTTTAAAAGGAACAATGGGCTCAATTCATGAAGAGTTTTTTTCCTCTTTAGGATATGACAAAAAATAGCTTTTCAAACTTTTTTTGCAATTCACAAAAAAATGCTACTATAATAAAGCATGAGTTATTTCAATGAAATGTGAGGTATTTATCTCAATAACTAATTTGGTATTTTATCTCATGATGTGATATCCAGTGGGATGGAAACAGTGGAGACCTCCTGCCAGTTTTTATTGCTGGCTGTGCCATCATTAGAGAGATTCCCAATCTCTATTGTTACCGGTTCTTCTTGTCAATGAAAGTGAAAGGAAAAGAAATCCCCATATTTTGGGTTAACATCACAACAATAATATTGGGGAAATCCCCAATTGGACACAGATGGCAGGAAAAAACTGTCAGGGGTTCCAACCCTCCATTACTTCATCCCAAATAAATAGAACGTTTTGCCTTTAGTTAAACATTAAGTAATTTTGATGTGATATTTGGCGAAGTCATTGCTAGATCTTTGGACAGGTCTGTTAGAGGTCTGTTGTCTTGTTAGAGAAAAGCCATTGACATTCTCTGATGTTCTTGGAAGTGTCACTCTGGTATTCATCTGTCAAATCTTCAAATTGATAACACCTCTCTTCTAACAACTCAAGTTCCACACCTTTTTAAGAATGCTTTTATATTCCTAATCCGATTCTGCCTTGAGAATATTTGAGCCAAATATATCTCTAAAAGTAATTGTGAAAAGTCTGTCCACTACAAATGACATGTGTTCTAACAAGGAATTAGACCATTGTGATATGCATGTACATTGTATTATGTTTGTAGTGATTGGAAGGTTTATGCAGGAAATAATATACTGCATAAGCTTTATATACACAAAAAATCTGACAAAATGACAGGAGAAAACAGATATAGATCACTACATTTAATGTGGTGGATTTACTAAAGGCAAATAGATTGAGCACATTGTAAGTGCAGTTGCTTCAGACTTTAGTAAATGAGGGAGAGCTCTGTTGAGTTCCACCCTACAATCATGTGCAAATGCAGTTTTTTTTAATTGTCTTTGCATGTGATTGGGTATTCATTGTAAAGTGAAGTGTTACTTCATTTACTAAGCTCTGGAGCAACTTGCAAACTTCACAGTCTACTCCAAATTATATGTTTTTCTTTTTTTAAATACTGCATGCCTGGACCACTACTTATTTAACACATGCATTTATTTATTTCCTTTAGTGAATTGCCTTAAACATCGTTTAACCTCCCTGGCGGTATGATTATTTCAGATTTTTGGTGCTGAAAGCGGTACCATTTTTTTGCATGGAAATATGTTTTTTTTTTTATTGTAGGGCTGTAATTTTTAGGAATAACTCACTGAAATCTGTCCAAACAAGAGTGTAGTAAACATCCCGGGTATGTTAAAATTTGAAACACTAAATCATAAATTATAATTTAATAAACAATCATAAAAATAATAATATAATAATAATAAATTTAATTTAATAATATAATCAAACCAAAAACACTTAAATTTGAAATAGAGCGCCAAGTTCGCACATCGCTGAGCAAAGTCGCAAAATCGTTTTCATTGTTTGATGACGAATTTCCCCACAAATCATTATCACTCAATTCTGCAAGTGGTTCTGATTTACTATCGCTGTTCTCTAGCTGGTCTAAAACCGCTTTTGACCTAAAGGGATGCTTTTTGGACGCCATGGACATTTCTCAGTTTCCAGGCAATAAGAACAGTAAAAATGCAGGCAGGGCACAGGACAAAGCACTCGGGACAAAATGTATGTGAAATGGTTTGATACAGTAATGTTTTACTATGTGATTTTAGTGATTTTAGTGAATGTCACTTTTTGTCATTTTTGAATTTCCCGCCGTTCCGTCCCCCGTACGTCCCGACGCTCACAGGGGACGGAACCCAGATGACAGATGCTGGCATCCGCCGGATTACATTGTCGGGGACACTGCAGGAGGGACATCGTGGGAGCGCAGGACAAGGTAAGTGATACAGGGATCGTGGAGCAGCGCCGCATGGTATTCCCGAGTGTAGCTCGGGGTTACCGCTTGTGGTACTGAAACCTTACCCCGAGCTACACTCGGGAATACCGCCAGGGAGGTTAATGAGGTATTTACCAATGTTTTTTGCTTTTTGAGGTAAATACCTCATAAAGGGATAGTAAATTGACATTTTCATTATCTCATGAGATATTTGTGAAACGTGTCATATTGCCTAAATACCTCATAAGATATGCTTTAGTGAATGGAGCCCAATAACCCTTAGCAGCTACTACAAAAGTGTATCACTACAAAACACACTAAATGCAACTATAATGAAAGCTTGGCTCTCAGATATTAAAAAAAACATGTATATGTATATCAAGAAACATCAAATAAATTAAAGTGTATCAATAAAACTAAAGTACCAAAGTCCATAAAAAAGAGCAAATCCTTCAAGTCTCTTATTACTGTGCAAAGGACAAAAATAAAGTGTTTATAAAAAAGTGTGATGAGTCTTTTCTTTATATCTTCTTTTGTGACACCAAATATCGTGTACTCTGCACGCAACCTGCAAACTGGAGTGCAATTGTGGCCTCCAGTACATAGGTAGAACCACTAAATAACTGTCAGTGATTATCAATGAGTATATAACTAATATCACTAAAGGCTTTAGGAAACATAGTGTGCCCAATCATTTTAGGCTGGTTCATGACAAAGACCTGAGGGGTTTGATCTTTATGAAATTGATAAAATTAATAAATATTAGAGAGGTAGTAATGAAAAGAAATTAATTTCACAGAATGAAACTCGCTGGATCTTTGAATTAGACAAGTCAAACTCATCAGGATTAAATACTGACATAGAGCTGAACTGTTTTATTTCCAATTTTTAATGTGAGTTTTATCTGTAAATTTGATTTGCATTTATATTTTGTTAGTCTCAGGATATATAGTGTTTTTATCATCTCCTTTTGTATTGATTACAAAGTCTAACATATATATTGGTGCTTAAAATGTTAGACTTGTTCTTGGGTATATTTGATCTGCTGATTTCAAAAATGGCACCAATTTTTCCCTTTCAGCTCTAGTTTTTTATATACAGCATAAATGCCATATACAACTTTTTACTCTGGTTGTGCATCAAAAAGCAGGATATTTTAATGTAGTGTTTTTTTTTCATGTCCTTGTAGCATGCAAGAAACAAATAAACAAGTAGCCATAACCTCTATGGGGTTAGCTCTTCAAAAATGAAACAATAGGAGTGACAATATACACACATCTCCTATATGATCATAACTAAAAAACAGTTAATAACTTACACTTTAGAATCCAAAGTTTCCAATGTCAAATTACAGTTAGAAGTACATAAATACTCTGACTTTAGCTGCTAACTTGTGCACAAAAACACAAACTAGGTAATAGAAGAACAAGTTGATCACCAAGAAACTAGAGCTGATGTACAGTAATCTAGCCAAAACAATTTTTTGAATAAGCGCTCCAAATAATCCCATGAACAGGTCTAAAAAAACAAGACACCAATAAAAAAAGATTTTTTTTTTTGTTCGGCTGTGTATAAATATCTGTATATAATAATATGCTTTACTTTGGATTTGTAACTTACTGTATATCTGTATATGTGTATTATAATATGCCTTCTCACATTTATTTGAAGGATATTGGACACATAGAAAATGTTTTAACTAGATAGTAATATATATATATATATAATATTTATTTTTAAAACCATTGCCATGTCTTATTTAAGCTGAGACTACTATTAGTTTAATGAAATTTACTGATTCTGTACTGCAAGTAACAGTGTGACTAGTTTAGAATATTCCATGAAAAAGTTAAAACTAAGGTATCTAGATGGAGAATGACATCACTGCAGTAACACCTCCTGCGGACATCTTGTTGGACAAAATGTGTTGGGGCTTGGTTACTGCACGTGGCATCACTTATGGCTTCTGGGTTCCAAGTATTTGTTGCTTTTGCCAAGACTGTGTATCACTTTGCAATGTGAGTTTTGTATTTTTGATGAGTTGTTTTTTTTTTTTTTTTTCAATAATTTTTTATTGAAAGAGCAATATAGCATACGGAGACCAATGAGCATCAGTCAAAGAGTATAATATCATGACATTAAGAGAAAGTCATGATATCATAACATATAAATGACATTCCTTTTTCAAGTTTTAACAGTGTCATGAAATCCCCTCAAAACAGAGAGATCATGGGTTTTTATTGTTGGAAAGGAAAGAAATAGGAAGGCAACGTGAACAGTGGGGAGAAAAAAAGGGGAAGTGGAGAGGAAAAAAGGGGGGGGGGGAGGCAGACGGATGACCTTTTGCTACAGTAATGTCCAAAAAACAGAGATACCACCATATGAAGATTAATTACCACTTTTTCTAAAGACAGGCATTAGAAACCTGGCATAGTATCTAAATATAAAGTAGTTTTGAACTCAAGCCAACAGGCCCATATTCTAGAGTGTCTATTATAATAATTATTAGACCCCAGGGCCAAATGTGTCAGCAAGATTAGATTGCAAGCTTCGCTCCCAGCAATCCATATAATCCAGATAAGATAGGCCTTGAAGAGATAAAAGAGCCTTATAGAATTGTGATACTCAATGTAATGGAGGATCCTTAGGCCACAAAATAGATTCAATGGGGGTTAAGTCTTGCAAATGGGTTGTGAAAAACATTTCAGAAACTGAGATAATTGGGCATGTCTCCATTGGTTTAAAAAAGGAAGGTCGGTTTCAGCAAGCGCAGATTCCAATGACACCTACAGTTTGGAACCCCAGCATACTTCCAGTCTGCAATGCATATTAAAGCTATTGCTTGATAGTACAGCTTAAAATTTGGTAATGCAAGGCCACCAGATCATTTGGTGCAGTGTAGGATGTCATGGGAGATTCTGGCATGTTTTCCTTTACAGATGTAATGTGAAATAAGAGATTGTAATACAGAAAAGAAACCTAGTGGGACCCCCATAGGAAATCATCTGAAAAAGGAATAAAATACAGAGGAGTGTATATATACCAACCCACGAGTAACTAATAGAAGATCAACTTCGTAAATCTGATTTTACAGTATTAAGTAAAGGGAGATAATTAGGTCTAAATAGCTCAGAGGATCGGACTGTAAGAAAAATGCTTAGATATTTCAGGGCCATTGGCTGCCAAGCAAAAGGGAATAGAAGTTCGAGTGTTGAGGCTTCTGCAGTTGGGGTAGAGATATTAATGATCTCAGATTTTGACATATTAATTTTAAAGTTAGATATTGCCTGAAACACCTGTATGGATGCCATCCAAATAGGGAGTGTGAGACGTGTCCTATGGACAAAAAAATTAATATTATTCATGTATGCTGCCAGTTTGTGTTCCTTCCCTTTAACAGTCACCCCATGGTTATCTGGATTTTGTCTAATAGTACATAATAAGAGTTCTAGGAAAATAGCAAATAACAGGGGGGACAATGGACACCTCTGTCGGGTACCATTATGGTGTGTAAAGGATTAATTCAAAGCACCATTGACCCATATATTGGCAATTGAAGAAGTATATAATGATGCAATACAATGGAGTATTGTAATACAATGGAGCCCATAAACCAAAAGGTCATCATTAGATAATCTCCACCCTGTCAAATACTTTTTCTGTGTCAGTGGACAACAACAGGGTGGGCTGGGAAAATCTCCTAACAAAGGATATAATAGATAAAGTCCATAAACAGTTGTTCCTGGCTTCCCTACGAGGAACAAAATATGTCCGGTCAGGAGAAATCCAACATGGGAGCAATGGGAGAAGTCTAGTTGCCAGTATATTTGTACAATTGCAATTGCAGGTCTACATTAAGTAGAGAGATAGGGTGATAGCTCCAAGAACAAGATGGGCCCTTTCACAGTTTAGGTAGGACCAAGATATGTACAATAAGTGATTCAGGATGAAAACCCACTGCTCCCACTATGGAATTAGTATAAGAGGTCAGGTATGGGATAAAAGTGTGTTTAAATTTTTTACAATATGAGGTAGTACACCTATCTGGCCCAGATGCCTTACCTATGGGCATTGATTCCAATGCCTTATAAAATTCTTCCTCAGAGAAGTGAGCCTCTAACTTTTTAAAAGCCCAAATAGAGAGCTTGGGTAATCCCGCCCACCACAAATATTGCAAACTTTTTGCATTCTTTTCACTAATAGGAAATGCATGTAATTCACCACAAATGTTGTATATCTCGATATAAAAATCACGAAAGGCGTTCGCAGTTTGGGAAGTAGTGTGTAGTAAGGTGCCTATGGAGAATTTAATTTTAGCTAGCATCACCCCACTCATGAATTCTGTGAGAAACAAATTGGAAATGTTTCTTAAGGTCTAAGTCAAGTAAAGTTTTAAGCTCTTTCTGTTTCTGTGTTAGTTTGTGCAAAACTACCCTCTGTAGTGAGAGTTTATGGGACTTTCCAAGATTAGCCACCAATCTCACTAATGTCTCCAGTTGTAATCTATGTTCTTAACTTCGATTAACTTCCCCCTCCTTATAGCTTTATGAGCCTCCCATAGCACTGATACAGAGAGGTCCAAAGAGGATTTCTCCACAAAAAAATTGGGTTAAGGATGATGAGAGGCCTGCAAAGTCGACTGGATCAGAAAGAAGAAAATCATTAAACTTCCAACTACAGTACACTGATGCATCGGGAGAGTGGGAATAGTTAGGGAATTTTAAACAGGTGCATGATCTGAGAAAGAATTTTAAGAGTGGAAGGTGGTGATGATCAATTCATAAAGCATCTATCCTGGAACAGGATTATGAGTCTTAGAAGAGTATGAAAAATCATATGTCTTAGGGTGAAGTACCCTCCATGCATCCATCAATTGTGTAGCTTGGAGATTCTTTTTAACCTGAGATAGACACTTGCAAGGAATTAGAGGTATGAACTTATAAGGTGTTCAATAGTGGATCAAGGGGAATATTAACTGAAATGTTCGTCAGCCTAGATAAGACATGAATATAGAAGAAAGTTTGGTTAAAGTTAGGGCAATAAATATACAACAAAGTACATGGCGTATTACCAAGCTTCCCTTTTACAAAGTAAGCATCTCCCTGTAATTGTCAGACAGC